AAATGGCTCCAGCTTTTGAAACCTCAAAAGCCAATCTCAGTTATACAACTACTTCAATAAGGCCACACCTTCTAATCCTTATCAAACAGTTCTAATATATGAGCCTATGGGAGCCATTCTCATTCAAACCACCACACTCCTCTAGGGCATTAATTATCAAAAATGAAATTATCCACCTTAAAAATGTCCCTAAATATATCTAATTTATCTTTTGAGTACAACTAATCCAGGCTATTGAATGAGAAACAAAATGAGACAATTATGGTAGCATTCTTTAATAAAAACATACTGGGTAATGAAGTTTCACTGACTACAGATTGACCAGCTGTCCTGTTTTCAATATTGAGAAACATTAAGAGGTAATAATTAAGAAGTCTCTAAGCCTGTGTACCTTGGTAATGTCTCTCTTAGTTCCTCGACGGAAGTTACCGAGTCTTCTGTATAAATGTAAAAATACTGAGCATGTTTGAGGTGGGAATTTAGCAATGTTACAACAGCCTCATTTGTTAAGAGTATTCTGTGATTCAGTTGTGCAATCATGGTAATTATATTTATAGCTACCGTGCTGAAAACATTTTAGAGCTATGCTCTTTAGAATAATAATAAGCATCATAGCAACAGAGTTAGTTGTTTCACAAAATGCCACTTTTATAATGATTGTTACCAACAGAGAATTAAAATGTGCTTATTTTAAATTGAACTTACTTTCTAATTTATGCATAAAACATACAAATTATAGATGTTCATGAGATGTGTAATACATGTATACTTTGTGGACTCCTCAAATCAAGGTAAACATACTTAGTTTCTTAAAGCATTTGTTATTCTATGGCATAAATATTCAAAATTATTTACCCTAGCTTTCAGAAATATACACAGTACACGTTGCAGTCATGTTGTCATTGGTATCATTGTGGTCTGCTGCAATCGCACACTAGAATTTCTTCATGATATCAAACTGTAACTTAGTATCCTGCACTCAACCTCTTGTTAATCTCTCCTTCCTTTCTCTCTCAGCTTCTATGGAATGAACTGTTCCAGATCATACATCAGAAGAAACTTGTGTGGCATGTTTTTTTCTGTATTTAGTTTATTTTTAACATAATGGTCTCCAATAACATTCATTGTCCCAAATGACAGAAATTCACCATTTTTTTTGGCTGATTAATGTCCTGTTGTATGTGTTTATAACATTTTCCTTATTCAACACCTAGAAATGTTTACATATGCCAAGACAATATCGGGAAGTCTTGTGAAATAACACCAAGAACTCCAGTTTAGGCCTTGGCACTAACATATTTTTCCAAATAGAGCTTTCAAATGCTTTAATTTTGTTAATACTCTCATTTAATTTTGCTTCTATCTCCTATGTGAGGTGAATTTAGTTTCTATACTTCTTAAACAAGACTACAAATTCATCACAACTCTGGTTTTTATATTCTTTTATGAAAGGTACCTTTGATAGGTTCTTATATGAAGGGGTTAAAAAATTTCCATAATGGTAACGTTTGCATTACCATTGTGTATTCCAACATTTGCAATAACACATTTTCCTATATCGCTGTTAAATCTAGCGCAAGACACGAATATTTCTAATCTGAACTAGATTCTGCAAAATAAAGCCAAACCTGTAGATCTTCTGACTGTCTACATTTAAGTTGTAATTTCAAATGCTAAATAAATAAGAATAATAAAGTTGATATTGTATTATTTAATTAATGTATTGTTTAATATCTATTGTATTTCTCTACTACACTAAGTGCTGGAATGAAACTTAATACAGATAAAACCAAGCTTATTACATTGGTGGACTCTACCTTACATATATTGTTATAAATGTAAATTATCCATTATTCTGTATATATGTTTTTTAAATGTCAGCATATACTTTTCTTCCAGATATGACTCAATTTCCTCTTCTTTTGTGCTCACTTTTGCTACCTTTAGGAAATAGTCAACTTCAACTGCCGGAAACTGGTGGCTACGATGCCTCTCTTTGCTAACGCGGATCCCAATTTTGTGACTGCCATGCTGAGCAAGCTGAGATTTGAGGTGTTCCAGCCTGGAGACTACATCATTCGAGAAGGGGCTGTGGGGAAGAAAATGTATTTCATCCAGCATGGTGTTGCTGGTGTCATCACCAAGTCCAGTAAAGAAATGAAGTTGACAGATGGATCTTACTTCGGAGGTCAGTAAATATACTGTGCAAGGTAAATCAAACACCTCTGAGATGTCCGTCCTGAGGCTTTCAGGGGTGGCGCGTATCTGTAGATTTGGGATATGAGCTTGTCCTTCAATTCTTGCAAAAAGATTTGGAATGCAGCTATATTTCAGGGTCACAAGTTCCATAAAGGCTTATGTATAGTCATGTACAGTCCTACATACACTAACAAGGGCAGAGTTGTAACCATTTTATCTTTAACTAGATAATGTTGGATGAAAGTAACAAGAGAGTGCATTTTTTTCCCTCACCCAAAAGTCACCAGAGTGTTGGATGACACTTTTCATAGCAGTTATTGGGGCCTCCTATGTTGCCGTATCAAGATTTTGAGTTTTGTTATTTTGTGTTTATTCCTTTATTTTAACATACACAAAACTTTCTTCCTTAACATTCTAATGTTTTATGGGTATAGCAAGAAAAGAAGGAAAGCCAGAAGCAGATCTTTAGATTTACTGCTAAAAGTTACCATCATCACTATAGTTCACTTATAATTGATAGAATTCAAAGTGTCACCCCTAGCACTAAATAAGGGACAGAAATTCACATTGTTGTTGGGCAGTAACTTATGAGGTTGAAAAACCTCATTATTTGGTTTGTTTCTAACATGGTTATTGTAAAATGCATGTTTATGTTTATATACATATGCAAAAAGTCCCCTTTAAGAAAGAAGAGTTACTGTCTAAATATTTTAAGGGGAATGTGTGATTAATATCTGACTAGGTGACAAATATGTTGAAAAAACTTAGAAAGGAAATTTTAAAGCACATTGTGATTACAAGTAGATTTATGGAACCAGCAAGGTAGCCCAACAGGTAAAGGAGCTTGCTGCCAAGACTTGTGACCTGAATTGGCTGCCTGAAACCCATGTGGTACAAGGAGAGAATTGACACCTACAAGCTGTCTCTTGACCTCCACACATGAACCTTTCCACATGTGTGTCCACTCAAATAACACGAATAAATAAATGTAAACTAAGATAAGAATGGGTTTGTGTTACATTGACAAGCCTTGTGGATTCACAACCACATTTAATTACTGTTTTATTTAGTAACATGAATTCAGTAACACGGTTTTCTGTGAAGACTGGGTGGGGATGGGTTCAACCACTAGTGAAGTCAGCATAGCAGTGAAAGTCACTGTGTTGAGACACGCATCATTTCCAGGATAAAAGTCATTTTCTCGCTGGGCACTGGTGGCACATGCCTTTAATCCCAGCACTCGGGAGGCAGATGCACTCAGATCTCTGTGAGTTCAAGGCCAGCCTGTTCTCCAGAGTGAGTGCCAGGATAGACTCCAAAGCTACACAGAGAAACCCTGTCTCGAAAAACAAAACAAAACAAAAATTCCTCTATTGTATGACTTAGTGATGCTGCTCTTCTGTCCATAAGTGAGAATCAGCTATAATTGTGTTGTTATTGTGGTGACTGTAGAATCTTCTAGGTCACTTTGGATATTAGCTTTTGCTAACCTTTTAGGAAAATAAATATAACTTTGTTCACATTTTTCTAATTCATTCTCTCTGGTTTATGTGCTTTGTAAGGAAAAGCATGACAATAAAGCACCATTCTCATCAGATCATGTAACAGTCATGGAGCATTAGCTGTACTACTTACTGCTGTTGATATTTGATTCAGCCAGGTTGTTCTGAGCAGAAACTTTATTCTCTGCTATTCTTTTTTTACTAGCCATATATATCACCATATGAAGTATACTCTAATATGACTTCATTGTATGACTCGGGTTGATGACATGTTTCATCACATGATGCCTATGTGTCCTTTAAAATCGGGTTCTTTTTGCTTGATCTGTGCTCACTTTGTGCTCTGTTTTCTGTTTAGTCTGCAAAAGGCTCATGGGGAATTTTTTTTTTTTTTACAGTTCAGTGTTCTTCATGTGTCCAAAGGTTCCTTCCTTCAATTGTTGGACACTAGTGTTTTAACTCAAAGATTTTGACATTAAGAATGTTCATATTATTTCTCTGTCATTATAGCTAAGGTTTCTTAGCTAGATAAAGAAATGTTCCACACATCTACTTGTGGACAGACACACACGTGTGTGCACATGTGCACAAACAACAACATCCTGTATTTGTACATATGTCTTTTTTCTATAATCATCTGCTAAAGAGAGTTCTTACTAATGTTTTCAAATTTAATCCATTACCATATGGAGTGGTCTGGTCAAATACCTATATTTTTTTCTTTTTCTTTCTTTTTCTTTTTGAGACAGTCTTTCTCTGTGTAGTCATGGCTGTCCTGGAACTCAGAGGTCTGACTGCTTCTGCCTCCTGAGTGCTGGGATTAAGGGTGTGTGCCACCATGCCCAGGTTCCACTACCTATTCTTATTTGTAACTCCTTATTCACTAGCCAAGATTCTATGCCCCTCGTAAGTTTGTGTCCAGTTTAGGTGTAGATGTATAATTATTCCATAAAAGACAACTTGCAGGTCTATGAGAAACAGCTTTTATCACCTAGAGTAAAGTTGTATCAGTAAATTTTGCCTCGGTTCTTACAGACTCCCTGGACTTCCAAAAGCACTGAAGTCAGTATCTTATTTTTCCATCTCTCAGTGACACTGTTTCATACAATTATTAAGTACTTATAGCATATCACCCAGTGACTTAGGTAGGATTTCTGTTGTTGTGATGAAGCACCATGACCAAAAGGCCAAGTTGGGGAGGAAAGGATTTATTTGGCTTACACTTCCACATTGTGGTTCATTGTTAAAGGAAACCAGGATGGGAACTCAAACAGGAAAGGAACCTGGATGCAGAAGCTTATAAAGAAGTCATTTGGGAAGAAACAATCCATTTTTTACTGTTGTTAAACATAATAGTAGTTGAAAGTTGTTTTGGATTTTTTCTAGGTTTCTTGATTATATTGAGGGTAGTCTCCATAATTATTTTAAGTAATAAATGGAATCTTCATCTTGTCCATTTTGTCTGTGTGGTTTAGAATAAATATATTTTATTTTACTATTATTTTGTTCATTCTAAATAAAATTGATCATAGTTTCTTTTCATCCTTGTTTTGTAATTGATTACATTTAAATATTGAATTTTGATTCCCATTCACAAGATAATTTTCAATCATTAAAGTTTATAAAGGAGTTAGATTGGATTTGCCTAAACTTTTGTGATTAGTTCCACCAGAAATATTTCTCTTTTCTTTTTCTTTCCCTTAATGTATTTTCTGAGCTTTGAATTAGGCTAATTCGCACTTCAGCAAATGGATTTATAAGTTTCTCTCCCTGCTCCTTTTTCTGAAGAATTATTATCATTGCTTCTTTAAATATATTATAGAGTTCCCTAATGAAAACACTGGAAGCTAGCATTCATTTTTGCAAGGTTATTGCATATTTATTCAATTCCTTTATGGCAAAGATACCATGTTTATTCAGCTTACCTATTTCTCACTGTGTAAATTTGGTTAGTCTGACTCATCTACAACATTATTCAGTATTCCCATTAGTACATGGTCCAAATAAATGAGTATGAGACAGATGCTCAATGTCTGCTGGGCAAATGTATAGGCACCAGAGATACAGAAATGAGTAAAAGAGATCAAGTATCCTACAACTAACTTTTAACTTGGCGATTGTTTTAAGAGGCTCAGAAACTATTAAAAATTGTAAGCTGTTTTGTTAGATGATGAAGAGAAATGCTTTTGGAAAATTAATGCAGGGAATATAAGAAATGCCTCCCATCTCCTACAGTCATGGAAGGAATTAGAATGTGGACGTGTGGAATTAAGGGAAGTTCCAGACTTCTTAGTGAGTAATGATGGTCAACATAGGAACAGGGCCTGATGATGATTGTTCTCACTGCTCAGGTCAGATGGATGGTGATAGAGTCAATGCTCAGGTCCAGGTAATAAGGTGCTATAGGGGTAACTGTCTGGCTGATAGAGAAAAAGAGTTCCAAGACTCCTTGATTCCTCTTTGGAGATAAATTATGTAACCTTAATTTTCTTTTACAAGTGAGGAAATTGAAAGGATCTCAGAAAACATCCCAGTCCTCTGCATTATATAGTCTTTCTGCAGCAACTTCCAAGAGGTTTCCTGAGCCTTAGGTATCAACTGGGGATGGAAACCACATGGTCAGTTGATCTTTGCATTTGATCAGTTGTGGATTTCTGTAATAATCTCTATCTGTTGGTAAAAAGAAAACTTCTTTGATGAGGATTGGGTCTTCTACTTACCTGTGAACATAACAAGTATTAACAATGCAGCTAGATTTAATGGTTTATGAAAGTAGGCACTACTCTAAATTCTATAATGTCATGAGTCATGGTCAGGTTTACTAGACATGAATTCCTTCCGATTGCCTGGGCCTTGTGTCTAATTACATAGCTACTGTTTGCTGACAAGGTATAAGTGCTACCTTTGGGTATATGTCACCATATTGGTAATTGTTGTGTGTCATATAGGACAAGAAAGCTACACTTACGGAATCTTAACAATGTGGTAGTCTAAACAAGACCTAAACAAAGGTTTCAGGTGACAAGTCAATGTGGATGGAAGAAATCACATGCAAACCCATCCCTAGATGAAGAGCTACAAAAAATACAGAGGGAAAGAGTCTTCCTTTGGAATAAGCTCTCTAATTTGCTATCCAATACCAAGTGGCCAGTCCTAGAAGCATATACATACAGACATACATACAGACATACATACATACATACAGGGAACAATAAATGGATTCAGCAGGTTATATATACATGTGTGCATATATATATATATATATATATCAATAATAATAAAAGAAAGAATAATAAATGATAAAAATAGTGATAATACATGAAGATGTAAGGAGGGCTAGAAGCAGAGGAATGGGAACAGTTAGATGGAGGAGAAGGATATGGTAATAGGGGATTGAAGACAATCATAGAATATTATATACATTTAAGAAATTTCATAATGAAACATGTTGTTTTGCACCATTAACAAAGGCTAATAAAAATGGAAC